ACTCTCTCTCTCTCTCTCTCTCTCTCTCTCTCTCTGTCTCTGTCTCTCTCTCTCTGTCTCTCCCTTAGTTTTGCCCACTTTTTACCTCTAGCACGGATGGTCGATGTTCTCGTCCAACTTCCCTGCCAGTGCTGTTGATAAGGTCCCGAGATGCTCTTTCTCCCAGATATGTCCCAAGACGAGGCAGAAAAATAACGTGTGCTTTTCTCTAATATGCTCTTCTCCTACTTTTTGATGTCGGGAAAGTAACCTGTCCTTTGAAATAACACTGGTACGGCACTGGGGACCATCAATAAGTGTATACTATCAGATACAATGAATCCTACTTTAGTCTCATCCCGTCGATGGCACGTGTTGGTCCCATATCATCATCAATGTTGATTTGTAGTTTACAGCGGCCCAAAAACATTTAACCCACAGTTTTTGATAGTATACCGTTATAAAGACTGGAGTACCACTTAAAAGGAAGAAAAAGAAGCAGACAATGTCAGAGCACCCTCCAGCTGCAATCGTTATCGTTTCTGACTATCGATTCTCGATAATAGAACACGGACACGATCTGCGAACTTTCTTTTTTGTTTTTGCTTTTTTGTTTTTGTTTTTTGTAAGAAGTTCTCATGATATATTTGGCACTAGACTATAGTACGGTCAAAAGTTCATGGTGTAACTTATTGTCAAATATTTCCTAATCTATCAGAGGTTCAGCTTTTGCACAATAACTTGTGCTAGTTTGTCTGAACATATCAATTTGAATATTTCTATAAATACCTGTTGACTGTGCGTGCGTGCGTGCGATAATAGATAGCATTTGTATGGCGCAAATTCCCGCTCAACAGCAAGCTCTGTGCGCTTTACAATCAATATTATTATCTCAGCAGACCTGGTTGATGACATTCTGAAACAATGTCAACTTTTTGGGAAGCATACCATATATACATACACACAGTCGTGCCTGCCATGACGGCCACCTGTACAAACGGCCACTTTCTATCCCCCCCCCCCCCTTACGTTTTTCTATATAATTTCACTGTCTAAAACTGCCACCTTCCCAACGCGGCTGCAGCATCCATATTTTAACACACAACCCCTATCACACCAAACAATAACACCTGTCTTAGACGGCCACCTAAGTGACTCCATTACGTTTTGGAATAATAATGCATTGGCCCCTGACGTTGTGGACATGCCGTCATAATCCAATCACCTGTCGTTGTTGTTAGGCAGTTCCTCTCATGTTGCGTTGGCCCCTCCTACTGTTGACCAATAGGTGACAAATTTTCAGCTGCTGGTGAGGTAAGCGTGTCATCCTCATAACCCATAAGCCCTGCCCAGAACTCATTCACAAATTGTAAGTGAGATGAGTGGTCACTGTTTACCCAGTCTGTAACAAAGTAGCAATGGATGTCAACAAGAACTTGTGACACAAGTGTCGCTCGTTAGCTGAGTGCTGGCAACCCATGTGTTTGTTTTAACTTGGCACTCGGTCTTACTCGTCTGACACTATTCCGTTTTATTGCGCAAAATCAGCAACAAAATAAAAAAGCAAACAAAAACAAATCAACAACAACAGCAACAAGAACAACAATCATTTTGATCAGACCTGCCTAAGATGGCCACCTGTCTTATATGACCTCTTTTTTCCTTGACAATGGGTGGCCGTCTTTCACCGATACCACTGTATATTATATACAATACATATATGTCTCTTCTTAATGGATTTAGTATAAACAAATATGAAATATGCCATATATATACTGTATAATATGATGATGTGAGCTAAGAATAAGTCCACTTTTTCCTGACAGATGAGGACCAGCTGGTCAAGCGACGGCAGCGCCAACACTTACGCCAGCAGACGAGCTCGCTAGGCGAGGTTTCTCCCCCAAACGTGCAGCCATGTTCTTCCACCTCGGGGGACCCGCTGAACGATGACCTTTCTCTGACCTTCACGGGGATCAGCCCGGACCACGAGAGTCCGTCTGAGCAACGGCTCACGCGCTCACACAGCGGCAGGCACTTACCCGCTCCCCTGCTCCATCATCCTCACCACCATCTTCGCCACCAACAGCATCAGCAACAACCACAGCAGCATGGCCATTGTACAGACTCAAACAGCGAGTTCTCCTCCCCCTCTTCCGCAACCTTGTACTCAGAGCCAAGCTCTTCCACCTCCTCTGTGTCGCCCTCCCCGCTTGGATTCAAACGTCAGTACAGTCACTCTTTCAGCAGCCCTTCTTCTCCTTCCTCCACCACGCCGTATCAGTCCCCAAGAAGCGCATTCTTACCTCAGCACAGCCACGCTCCCCAGAATTTCTTACCCTCCACCCCAGCAGACAGTCAACGAAAAATCCCCAAAGTGGAATATGTATCTGAAGATGAAGACTGCATGCTCTACAACAAACCACAACGACGGCAGTCCGACTCGGGGCCCCTCTACCAAATGCCTATGTCCAACGACGCTCAGACATCTGCTTCAGTGTGTGATGTTGTTGTGAAAACTGAAGACTTATCTAGTGCTGAGGATCTCCGGGTGCCGCTGAACCCTTACATTAACGAGCGCCTCATGTCTCTGAAGAAGACCTATGACGACATATTCGAGGCGGCTTACACACAGGATCAGGCGCCCAAGTTGCAAAAGAAACCTCACTCAGCAGACCAGCTCTACAACATGACGGATGTCTTTATACGCCGGCTAATCCGTTTTGCAAAGCACATACCCGAGTTCAAGAGCCTCTCACAGGCTGACCAGATACATCTCTTAAAGGTAAGGCACAACAGTAGACGATATGGCTTGGGTTTGATACCATTATCAGCACAATAAGGACATTTTGGAAGCGGGATCTGCGGTTGATGTCCTTGCTCGATAGGAGTGAGTGAAGTTGAAGGAACTCTTTCTTGAAAGCTCCTCAAACGATCCAAGCTCGAGAATACTGCACTCAGGATTTGAACTAGGATGGCCCCCACTGCAGTCCAGCAAAATACCACTAATCTAATGGCACTTACCTGGAGTTCTCTTTCTCTCTCTCTCTCTCTCTCTTGCCCTTTTTAACTCCTAGTGGAGCATAGGCCATCAACAACATTTCTCCAGGGAAGCCTGTCCTGTGCATCCTTTTCTAGCTGTTTCCATGATGTCCCCACCTTTTCCATTTCCGTGTGTACCTCTTGCTTCCATGTTATCTTTGGTCTTTCTTTCTTACGTTTTCCTTGTTGATTCCACGTCAAAGCTTGTCTGCTGATGCTTATCGGGGGTCTCCTCAGGGTGTGCCCATTCCATTTCCATTTCTTCACCTATATGTCTTCTTTACTGGCCTTTGGCTTGTTCTTTCCCTCAGTTGAGTTTTTGTGACTCGATCGTGCCCCTTGATCCCCACTATCCTTCTTAGACATCCATTTTTGAAGCTGTGCAGTTTCCTTGATGCTGTTACATGGAGTTAATAGTTGAAAAATTATTTATCCCTCTGTTTCCCATAAGTGATTTCTCTATCAAGTTGCTGTCCTAAAATTACATACTAGATCTGTCTGCTCAATACCTAAGTTCAAGAAATTTGATGTGAAAAATGTTGAGTTTCCCAACATGTCAAGATTTCTTGAATGTAGTTCTTTGAATATCTTGATAACTACTCTGAATAATCTTACAATTTTCAGAGAGCAGATAGAACATGTAGTTTTTGATCTCATTGTCTTAGGAACTTAAAACGACCAAAAATGTCAGATAAAACTTAGTAATTCTAAGGTAGCGTGAAGTAGTTCAGGATTTGGACTGGCTGCCTTGAGACTCGTGGTTGGAATCCTGATTGTGCGGGGTAGGACATTGCAATCTTGAGAGAGTTATTTTCCTTTCTTTAGTCCTTACCATCCTTCCCCAAATGAATTCTTGGCAATGAGCAGAGACTGTAGGGGACGACGGGCTGTACAGCATTGTTTGCATTTGTAAAGAGAGAGAGAGAGAGAGAGAGGGAGAGATACATATAGGGAGAGAGAGAGGGATTTTTCTTCTTTTTGTAGCCCCCCCCCCACTCCCCATCAAACGTCCTTTTTTCTTACCGTTGGGTCAATTAAAGGGTGCCACAGGTAAGTTCCAATTCTGAACTGTCCCTTTTCATTTCTATCTGCCAGTCTTGCTTTCCCCCAGCCTGATAATGTTCCTCCCTATTTAGCCCGTAGTGATATTTTTTGTCTCTATGGGGTTCTTTTCTTGGATTTTTTCATATCCACGTCAACATTCACACAGCACTTGCCTTATGAGCAGGCTGTTAAATAAAATTTACCCATCTTTGCTTTTTTCCTGTAACTTTACTTTTTTCCTGTAACTTTACTTTTGTTATAATCAAATTATCTGGTAGATCTTATTTCTTTCCAGGCTGTCTTATATTTTTCTATTAGTTTACTTTCACTGTTCTCCTGACTTTATTTATGATATTTTTGTAGCCCCCCCGTGCCTACACCTACTTGAAATATGATGATACTTATACTGATAGTTTTAGAAGGTTGGTTTCTTTCTTATATTCAATATCCATCTGTTGTCTGTGTTTGTCTCGTTCGTTGTATTTTTCTCCAACACTTTCCAACACCCATTTCACTTTGATGTGCAAACTTATTTTTAACTTGAAAATTAGAATGCTGTTTCTCATGAAATACTGACAGTAGCTGTTGTCTGCTTACTTTACTTTTTCCTTTGGCTGGTATCAGTGGGTTTCGCAGGTAGAAACAGTCGTCTGTTAGCTGGGAGTCGAAAGTCTTGGAGGAAACTTCTGTCGTGAGCTCTGGTGGTGTCCTTTTCAGAGTCATTCCAGCAATGTCTCTGTTTCTCCAGCCAGAGTGTCGTGTGTTATAGGCTCGAAATATTGGTTGATTTTGGAGTATTTTTGAAAGGTTGCCAAACCATTTAAGTCTCTGTTGATCGATATAGCAGGGCAGAGGGCTGGTGTTGATCCTACCATGGCCACATCATTTGTGATTGATTTCTCATGGTTTTCTTCATTGCTCAGCTCAGACATTTCAATTCGCAGGTGTTCAATTTCATGTTCTGTGTTTTTTTCGAAGACCAAGTTTGGCTCTGGTAGGTTAATGTTGGGGTATAAATACGACTTTGATGAGTTTTGCTTTAGTGTTGGGAATGTTGAGGTGTCTCAGAAAGGTTAAATAGATAATCAACTGCATTTTGCTCTATCGTTGTTTCAATATCTCCATCTAGTTATATTATCTTCTGTGAAAAAGCTACCAAAGTATTCATTGTTTGTTGTCTGTCATCTGAACATTGCATACAGTAGTAATTACCCTCTATAATATTATTGGTTTTTAGAAAAAATATGTTTTTCTGTTTTTTTCTCACTATAGGGTGGCGTGATGGAAATGTTCGTCCTCCGCTCCGCAATGGGTTTTGACGCCAAGAGCAACGCATGGAAGTTCAAAGTGCAGCAAGGTAACATAGACCAAGGAGAGGGTAAACTTGACTCGGGGGTCATCAACAACACGCTAGGTTCCTCCATGTTCATGCAGCACATGATGTTTGTGCGCCAGATCCAGGAGATCACTAAAAGCGACCGCATCATCCTCATGCTGTTATTCATCATCCAGCTCATGTCCCCGGACCGGCCCAACCTCGGAGACAAACGATCAGTTTCTCAGAGCCAGGAGCGGCACTCGATGTGGCTGAAGGCATACCTGGAGTCGCAACACTCGGTAGAGGAAGCTGGACAGCTCTACCCGCTGTTATTGCTCAAACTTCAGGATGTCCGCAGCCTTGGGGCAGAAAGCTGTCAGCTGGCTGCTCACTTGGACATTAACAATTTGGAACCTCTCCTTGTAGAAGTGTTTGACCTCAAATGAGATGCCTTCAGTATTGACCACATCGAACATTAATCTGCAAGAGCTTCAAATGATGCTGTGTGAGCCTCAAAATGTTATTTATAAAAGTGACAACGCCTCTGTTAACAAATAATGGAACAGACATTTGTAGTTTTTTTTACTTTTCCAGGTTAATCTACTGACTAGCTTATATTCCTGGTGATATTTACAGAGAGGGTTGGGATACGGTTTTTCAGGGAGTGCCAAAGGAATGAAGCTGTAGTTGTTGGGTTTTATTTTTCTGTTGAATCTAGTTTTCAGCATGGAGAATAATATACTTATTTTCCTACCATTGATTGCTGGCTTTTGACAGCAGCAAAAACAAAAACGAGTCACATCCTCTTGATGATGACCGTTACACTGCTCAAAGATCATACTGAAAGATATTACAGAGTTCATCTCAGCCTTTCCATGTTTTCGAAAAGGGGAGACGTATTTTTTTTTCTTTTTTCCTAGCTTTAGAAAAAGCCACTATTGCTGCCCAATGTCTTCACTTTGAGGCTTGTACTACTGGTGTCTTCTCTGTTGTATGATAATTATTTGGGGAAGATCTCTATGATAAACGCATCAGCTTCACTTTTTGTTTGAGATTCTGGAATGATATATGAGTGCATTGCTTTACCTATGGACTGTCCTGTGGCTATGAAAAAGTTCACACCAGGAACCAGTATGGTTGAGCTGTGACGTACCTGAAGAGTACTGGAGGAATCCTCCAAAACTCCCACAGTATTTTCTCAGTACCTCCCCTCTGCCTTAGCTGCTGCATTGGAATATCTCTATAGAGTTCAGTACAAATACTGAGAGTTGTGAGGCAATGTTATATCGCATGACTGCCTAGTCTGTCTCAAAGCTGCTGAGGTCATTGCCTATGCTGAGAAATATATTTACGTCTGGTGTAGTATTTACCATTTTCCTCATTTGAGACTTGTTGTAACTCTTGCTCCTTGCCTGTACAGAATTTCATTTGCAGAATGTCTCACACAAGGCTTTTGACACTGGGAAATCTTAAGCTACAGAAGTTTCAATGACTGATATTATTAATTCTTCTATTCACATACTGGTTTATCTAACTAAATGTATGGTTTTGTTGCTGTTATGATTCATGTTTTTCTGGTTTGCTGCAACAATAGTAAAATGCCAGGCTCTAATTTTACTTCATCCGAGATATTAAATGACACAATATATGACATGCTCTAATTTTACTTCATCCGAGAGGTTAAGTTACGCAATATATAGTAAAAGTTAATGTGCTTCAGAAGTAAGGGCACTTGTATGAGTATTTTGTATCCCTAAAGATGGCATTAATAGCTGCCATATTTTGACTGGGATCAGTTCAAGTTAGTAGGGTGGAAGGGAACTGAATGGTGCTATTGTTGATAGGATTCTTGTTCTTCGGAAACACTTTTAGCCAACAAGTGCGAAAACTGTTCATAGTTGTTGCACTTTATGTTGTGATTAGTAATGTCTCTCCATTATGTGCCAGAAAATCAAGAAAGGTAAAGGGTTAAAATTATGAATGATAACTAGTATGCTCTGTTCTCTAATTTTGAGACTCTGCGCATGGACTATTTTCCGGAATGTCAGAACATTTTGAAAATTCAGAGCAGACCAGGAGGAAATTTTGCTCAGGTGGGAGTCCTGACAACAACATTATTTGATGAAAGGAAGTTTCCTGCTCTTGATCTAAGCAGAAATTTGATTTACAGGTGTCCATTTTGACTCCTTTACAAGTAGGAGCTAACATTTGTTTTCTTGCTAAAATAAAGCAGTTTTTTTTCTTTTCTAAGTGAAGGGCATTTTAAAAAAATGATCCTCATGCCCTGTTATGTCGCACTTGATCTTTTGAAAATTTTGTTTGGCCAGAAGATAGACTCTTGGACCTGATGAACTAAACTAACACTATGTGATAGTATCCTTATTATCCTTATAATCCTGACAGAGTTTTAATTGAAAATAGGGGTTGTGTTGCCTAGATTTCTAAAGTGATGTATATATTCTTAGAAGGACAGAGAAAGGAAATAAATCAAAAGTATGTTTTTATTAAGGAAAGTTAGGGGAAACCGTGCTTTCTCAATGGTCAATACTTGGAGCAGAGTAGCAAGTCTGTGATTGTTGTATTCTTTCTTTCACCTTATGATTTGAAATGTCTGACCATCCAGTTCTTACTTTTGTCTATTGTGTAATGGTTGGTCGTTTGGCCATGAGTGCAGAAGATGCGAGCTCGATTCCAACGAGGGAAATTTAAATTGATGAATATTTCTGTTTCCAACGTTATTATTCTGTGATATAATGCACATATTGATTCTGTTGTTGGGATTGTGATGGTACAGTCGTTTTGAAATCATTTGTTGTGCATGTTTTTAAGTGAATACCTCCTCCCATCTTTTTTCATTTCTGTCATACTTGATTCACATGGACTAGAGGTTTTTTAATGGGTTTTTTAAAAAAGTGCTCACTTGAAGCTACTTGAGATGACAATTCAAGAAGAGTGTTCCATTTCTATTTATTCTGTTTGCTATGAAAAAAATAATTTTTATGTGACCTGTCTACCTATAAAAATGCCCCTTTGCCTTCAATATATAACCGAGATCAACAAAACCACAGAATATGTCAAACAGCTGACCGAAGTATTTGAAAGAAGAGAAAAAGTAAGAAAATGTGAGAAATGAGAAACTCACTTGAAGTCTGCCAGGGAAATTAGAAGTTTTAATTGATATTTCAAGACTACTTTTCACAGAGATGCAAACCCTCATCTCTGACATTTAGAAAAAAATCTGAGCTTTTCAATATTTACTTTGTCCTCAGTCAAATGTCGAATGTAAATAATACCTTGCTGTCAGTTCTTAGGGGAAAGGATACAATAGAAAGAAGATTCATTTACTTTTTAAGGCTTTTGACGCACTTTATATGAAAGAAAACCTAAGACTAAGCGTTCCATAGGTATCTAAAAAAGTTTGCAACAAAGTGAATTGCTTCTCCACCTTGGAAAACAGTAGTGTGAAGCACTTTCTCCAGTTCCTCATGTTACCCCACTTTTTATGTTGAACATCCGTTATGTTAGAAAAGTCGCTCTTGAAGACAACCTTGGGCTCTGTTGTGTCAGTGAATTGTCCATTAACTGCCAAGGGAGACTAAATGAAGACATGAAAACCCCTTCTGTGCTGTGAAACGTGGACACTCAAAATCATCAATACTAAGACTGTTTTTGCTTAGCTAAAAAGTTGCTCCCAAGGACTTAATAGATTCATAGATATGACAGCACTTCAAACAGAGCCCTTTTTTTCTGTATAGACAACTAATCCAGACCAGATGGGCAAGCAGCTGTGCCGTACCAAAGGCGGGAAAAGAATGTAGTTTATCAAGAATTTTGAAAGCTTGACATGGGATCAGACAAGAACACCTGACATTTTCTGAAATGCAATAAAAATTGATATGACCATTGACAGGATGAATGAATGTATAAAGGAACATCTCCGACAAAGTGAAATTACATTGACGTATTTCTATGTTAATAAATCACTGTAATTCTTTCTATAGTTCAATTTTTCTGTCCTTTATAGTATTTGAAAATCTCATTGATGTTAAAACATATTGTCACATCTTTTAAACAGATTGTCAGATTTCCCAGAAAAAGACTTGAATGAAGATAGCTATCATTGTCATCATATAGCACAGTGTTACAAAAAACTTCCTGTCCCAATATCTTCTGAACTTTTTTCTCCTTGATAGAATTGGTAAGGAGTAGTGATGTCAAGCAGATGGTTCAGCTGGATTCAGTTCGATGAGTATACATACGTGCTGAGGGAAGGCCAGTTTTGTTTTTCTTTTCTGAAGAATAAGTGTGTAGTTTTTAGTGTGTTTACCTATTATTTTAGGGACAATGTATGTACTTGGATTATGTTACACCCGCACATAATGTTGTGAGTTGCTCACTGTTACATACCTGTATATAAACATGTTGTCATTGTCAGTTTGACAAGTTTGTTGTTATGATATAATTCAGCTGTGCCATACATTGTTTACAAATTACACACTTCTCATACACATTATATATATATGTATGTGTACACACGCATACATATATTTATGGTTATATAAAGTACATGTTAGTGTTTATGATATTGATGTTTATATATATCTACAGTATGTTGCAATTGTGATTTCGAAGTGGATTCATTTTTCTTGTGATGAGGTTTGCCTTTTCTATTGACATCACTGTGGTTTGTGTCCTCTTGAAGGCACTATCTGACACATGCGACCTATTCTGATGTTAACAACTGAATTTGTTGTTTTCATACTCCTGTTACCTGCGGCCATTTTGATGTCCTTTTGATCTCAAGAGCTTGAAGCTCTTAAATTTTAATTTTTTTTTTTTTTAAACCTCACCTGCAGTAAGATGTGATTGTATAAGCATTTGGGCATTTTTCCGTCTATTTAGCGTTGTAGCTTGAAAGGCAGGTCACTTCCTCTCTACCTCCAACCGTGACTGTGGCCAGAGATGTTCAGCAAGGGTTCTGTACACGGGTTGAAATAGTGGCCTATTGATGGCGGGATATTCATCCTCTTGATTATATATTACTATTAATTATCAAACCTTTGTAGCTATTTTACTATTGGTTTGTAAAGTCCACCGCTGAATTTTAACATTAGTTTTCATAAGGAATAGCTTTGAATTTGAATTGATTTTTTTGGTTCATGTTTGGAATGTTTAGAACTTCTGTGAAGATTAATTCTAGCCAAATTCTTCTTTTCTTTTGGATATGTAGCCTTTCTTAAAAGTCACTTTGATAGTGTTGAATTATCGTGAATGGACCTGCTGAATCATTTCTCTGGTTTTCCCTCGACAAGCTATCATTTCATCATTCTGATCTCTGAATTACTTGCGGGACATTTCATCTTCTTCATCACTACTCCATCAAGGGCTCTAGGGGCGAAAGACATCCGTGTAGTCAGGAGGTCAGGTTTCAAAGGGTTAACAATTGGTTGGAAAGTCCATTTTTTTGGGGGGTGTTTCTTCACCAATTACATGAGTTTGTTGCCAGTTGTTTTACTTGGCATACTCTAATTATTTCGGAATTTTGATAAAAGCTTAATTGTTTCACCACATGTATGTGCTGGGGCTTTTGTCATTGGTGTTGGTGTATTTGTATTATACTCTTCTTTGAGCTATTCAAACCTGTTCATTATTTATACCCACCTCAGAGTCTGCTCATCAATTTTCATAGCACAATCCTCCTACAATGGCATTCTACCTGCTCAAGTTTTTCATTTTGTTCATTTCTGATTCACATTCCTCTATTTTGTTATTTGTCTGTACAAGAGTTCTTCCTGTCAATCATGCTGAGAATGTCCCCTTGCAAAGCTCTGCCAGCAATTCTTGTCTCTTTGTTGACATTTGCTTTGTCTTTGTACAGGAGTTACTCTCTGATTATTGTCTGACCCTACTAGGCTGTGTGTGTGTGTGTGTGTGTGTGTGTGTGTGTGTGTGTGTGTGTGTGTGTGTGTACGTGTGTTTGTTTGTATGTGCATGTGTGCTCATAACTGACGTCTATATGTTGTTGCTAAGGTTAAACACCTTACTGGGCACATTGTAGATATTTTGGAATATAGAGCACATGACTTTTTGTCTGGGTATAAGACAGAGAGGATATACTCCAGGATTTGTGAGAGAAATTTGATCCTGACTCATTTGTTTATGGAGGAACTGTGAGAAAGATTGCAGGGCCTGAAGAGGTGATGAAATTAAAAAAAACATTTTTATACAATAGAGCTGATATAGTGCCACAATAGGGACAAGGCAGTAAAATGGGCAAAGGGCCAGTGCACTAATTCTTTTTAAGGTGTCTTCAGTTTTTTTGGGTTTTTTTGTTCCTGGTGAATAATACCAAAAGAATTATATTGGTTGGAATTTCCGTGTGTGGTGAGGATTTCCCATTTGTTGGTGCTCAAAAAAGATTCATGAATTTGTGTTAAATGAGGCCCTCTGTACGTTGTACCAGCCACTCTGTGGCCCCCTGTTCTCCCACCATGGTATAAGTTAACGGCACTTGCAACACAATAAGGTCATATAAGTGCCGAAGATTAGAGGTGTTACAAGAGAGTAACAAACAGGAAAAAAAAGAAGGAGGGGAGATAAAGACCACAGATGTTTGATAGGGAAAAAGAAGCAAACCACACCAGAGCACCAGGTTTCTCTCCGACTACAAATTGCTCTTTCCTTCTTGTGTCATTAGCCTGCTTTGTTTGGGTGTGCTCACAATGTTTATGCTTTGTCTTTCCTCAGTATCGCCTGTTCGTCAGGCACCTGATATGCTGCTGTAAATCATAGCATATGAGGGCCTAATCAGTTCACTAGATATGTTTTTTTGGTTATAATCCTCATCAAATACTGACCCTAATGCATGATGTCTTCTTTGACTCATAATTCCTGTCAGGTGTAAAAGGAGACATTTGCCTTAAATTATTTCTAGTTAATCTTCTCTTTGAGTGTGAGTTTCCTTAACCGTAGACATGCATAGCTTCCACTGCTTCAGCATTGTTGTTATGTGAAGGCACTAGCACATTTCTTGTTTTGACTAACACTCATGGCTGAAAACTTTTACTTTTGAAATTCACTGAGGCCTGGAAACTTTTCATGTCAAACAACACTATCCATGTTTAATAAAAACCTAATGACTGTTCATTTTCAGTGATACTGCCCTTGTCCATGAGGACCTGAGAACTGTTTATGGTCTCTGATGCTTCTCATATTCCTTACTATAGAATCTAAATTTCATAGGCTTTAGACGTAGTGTCTGCCCAGAAGAAGGAACAAAAAAAAAAAGAAGCTGGATAGGTTCTACTAAGAAGGTAAGAAATGCCTTAGTTCTCCTAGTCGAGCCTATCATTTCTTTTCATAGCTGCAAAAAGGAATCTGACTCACCAGAAACCATGGCCATGCCCCAAGAGACTTTCGACAAATTCTTGGAGGAGTGGATCAGCTTGCTGTATGGGTGGATTTACTTGTAAAGAAACGATGTAACTGTTCTGACATAGTGGTCAAAGATGAGAAACAGTACAATATTTTATACTCATATGAGATCTATTGTTTGAATCCTGAGGCAAAAAACAATGAAGCCTGCCTCTTCCTTCCACAAAAGTCTCTATTAGTTATTCTGAAAAGAAAATGAGCATGGTTATTTTCTTTTAATTTTAAGACTGTTTCCTATGCTCTTGAATGCTTGAAAAACTGTTTCTTTTTTTCTCTAATGTAAACTGTATCGTTCTAGTATTCATGGGCAGAAAGCTGGAAGACACACTGATTTAAGGCATCCTCAAAAATAATCATCAAATTTCATAGACACAAGCCCTCTAAACCCTACTCTTCCATGAATCTAGGGTCACACAAAATGTGCTCTTGCACTGAATCCAACCATTAGAAAACTGACTCGGCCACTTTGTCATGTTCTCTTTGCAACTGTAAGCCATTGCCCCTTTTATTTCCTTGCTTTGGGTGATCTACAAGCAAATCTATTGTCATCAGAATCAGACATGGGATGCACCCTGTAATCCAACGTATCATAGATCAGTTAATTATATAAATCCAGCTTTAAGTGGAGTAGCAATTATTCAAATGTTTGCTGGATAGACAAAGCAAAGTAAAGCAGGTTTGATGGACTGGCATTCTGAAAGCATAATGATTATTTCAAGGTTTATTGAATTGTGCAGCAAACTGTATTTATTTGTATTTTTATGCATATTTTTATGTTTCAAAAGTTATTTTTTTTAAACGGGGAAATGGATTTTATTGTCTGAAAGTTCGATGGTTCGAATGTTTTTTCAATGTCCCTTGAAATAATAATTCAATAATGTTTCACAATAATGTATATCAGATTGAGTTCATCTGCTTAGTGAATACAATTGTTGTTGTGAAGTTGCTTCACTTTTGTAACTCAAGAAAAAGTACCGGTTTTTTGTACATACAGAGTAAAAACGTAAGCCTATATTTATCCATATTATTTCAGTTCCACAACAGTGATGATGTTTACATAATGAATGATGATATAATATTCTATTTTGTAATGCTGTGCATGCATCATTTAAATTCATATATTACAACAGTACTTTCTGATACTGTAATTGTAAATACGCTTTGGAAAGCCGACATATAGTAGCGGGTGGTTGTTACAATATCCATTGTTGTTTTCCCCATATATCTATTTTAAAAAATTTTCTTTTGGTCTTGTATATTTTTATTCGTTCTCTATCTGTGGAAGTGTTTTTATTGTACTTCTAGAATGTTTTTCTCTTTTCTTCTCTGTTTCTTCTCTGATTTCCCATTTGGTAGTGCTCAAAAAAGATTCTTGAATGTGTTAAATGAGGCCCTCTGAACATTGGACAATGTTCTCCCACCATGGTATAAGTTCTATAGGTCTGATTTATTTGTGTGAACTTGTTGTCACTGTGATAAACATGTCATCTTTAGGTGTACTTTTTTGTTGTTGTTGCTAGTTGTACAAAAACCATAGATGCCATCCTAAGTGTCTACTCGTATAAATACAGTGTGTGTATTTTATAATAATAACAACATACTCTTTTATTTGTCATAGTGAGTCTTCTTCTTTGCTGATATTGTGTCTGTGTTTTAAGTAAGTCTCTGAAGCCCTGCAATAAAAATGAGTTACTTTATTTTATCCTGCTACAAAGGGTGATTAAAATATGAGTTGCTCATTTTGCTTGCGACTGCAATAAGGTGCACTTTTTTATTTATAGTATGATAACTGGGTGATTCTGGCAGGAAATAAGAATTTGAGGGCAGAAAGATCAGCTTTGTTAATCTATATGTGAGGTAACGGATATATTATGCTGCCTTGGGTAATTAGAGGAAGTGAGTCTGACCATTTTGCCATCTGTATTGCATGTTACTGAAGACAGCACCCGTGAACTTGGCCGTCAATGGTTTTCTTCTCACTTTTGTGCATACCGGGTAGACTAACTGACTAACTTAGTTTGTGCAGCATTTTGTTTTTTTCCTGGATAAGATGGGATCCTCCCATTCTTTTGTTGTAGTTGTGGATCCACTATGGCCTACATTGGTGTTAACTGTCCAAGCCTTTGCCATTAATTAATAATACATCTCTTCCTTTTGGATGTGTACTGTCATATAGTTCATGGACAGATAAAACATAGGTATTTACCTCAGGTGATTGGGGAACATGGTAGTGTTGAACTTACTGTGACTGAGACTAAGTGTTGACCAATCACATGGATGGGGATTGATGTGGCCAGTACATGATGTGTGGTAGCCTGGAAACTCATGACATAGTTATGTTTTCATGATTTTGTTATATTCTATATATTATATTCTACCATTTCTATTGGGCAATTTGTTTTTAATGACACCCAGTTCTTTTGATCAGAGTCTTAATGTTCCATCATTTTCTATTCCTGTCTTTAAAAGCCCAAGGTCTCTTTAAATACTTTTTCAAATCTACTCAGTGAAATTAGGACTTACAAATTTCTGTGTTCATCTTTATAAAAGTTATTTTAAGACATTTGATGAACCACTTTGCTTTTTGTCCGTTTAGCTTCTTTTGCACCCTGATGTAGTACACAAGCCGACTTAAGGTTTTCAGTTTTCAGTCATATCTTTTGGGGCATATCTAAAAAGTTTGCTCAAATTTCTGACAGGTTTTGTCACTCTGCCACAAATAAAATATCTACCTGGTGTTTCCCTGTCCCTTGTTATTCTCTATGGTCCATGAGGAGCACAGAACATTCATTTTTATTTATATAATATAATATATTATTATGTTATGTTGTTGTTTCACTCATTGGAGTTGACTCTCTATTATTGTTGACTTTATGCCATATTTCTCCCTGTTCAAATACTGGGTATGAAGACAATATGTAGAATAATTTGTTGAGATCATAATTTTATCATTCACCTATTTTTGACATTGTAACTTTTTTCTGCACTGTTGTTTGTAATCATGGAATACAGAACATTTGCTCAATTTATTGTAAATATGTCATTAATATTTCTTGTTCCTCGTTGGCCTCTTTCTGTCTGAAGTCTTTATGTTCTTACCTTCCTGTTATCTGAAATCCTCTGCACTCTTTCTGCACAACAGCCTCAGTTTATCTGTGTGACGTTTCAGTGGATTGGAACAGTACTTTTTACCTATTGTAGCAAATTATAACCTTCATTTTTTAAAGTTGTTTTTGTGGACAGGTTTTTTCTTTTCTGTTTCTCAAACAAAGCAGCGCACTGGCAGGCATATTTTTTTTACTCTACCAGTTGACAACAAACACATTTGAAGGCATCTGTGCAAGCTAATCCTTTTTGCAAGACCAATGTTTTGACTTTATAACATAAATTCTTTAGTTTGACCTGGTTTCCTACAATGTTATAGACTCTGACATGGGGGTGAACAGTATCCAAGTTAGTGTACCCAAATTATTCTGGGTTTTGATGACAGAAACTAAAACTCAATTTGTCCCGTCACCCAAGTGTGTTGATGGGGGCTGCTGGGCTCTGCTTGTATTTGAAGCTATCACTGCACTTTTAGGGGCTGCTGTCAGGTATTTTTCTTATTGATTTTTTGGGGAAGAGGATTGAGATGAGCTGTTATCAGGAAGGCAATTGTACTTGTTACAGTTTCCTTTCTTGTATTTTTTTTCTCTTTGAATTTGAGAGAATTTTTTATGATCTTTCTAAACATAACTGAGAAAGTTATGCAATGCAGATTAACAGTGTGATGAGAATGTTAGGTAATAGTAATAGGTAAATTGGTGTTTCATGATTCTCTGACGTTTTGCCTTTCTCTGTAATCAAATAACTCTCTATCATACTCTGTGAGCTTACATGATGTTTTTGGCCTGAAGATCAGTTCTTTTTTGGGCCTTTGGATGCTATTTATTAAAGCTTAAAACTCTGAAGCAGAACTGTGCAATTAAGTATGATCAGTTTTGATCTAAAGGGCTCGACACCACAGTGTCCTGTAATTATTTCAGGCCTACTGATATTTGAAGGTCTGCAGACATGTGCAATGTCGTATGCTTAGTGGGCCTTTATACTTTGTCGTGTCCCATAGCAACCTTTAGTATATAGGTCTAACATAATGACTTCAGTAAAATAC